ATTTGGAACTCGAAAAGGGTCTATTGAGCTGATGTGATGTCACATGCAAAGGGTCTAATAAAGGACTATCAAGGCTTGTGGTTGTTGCTCAGCCAGCTTAATCCATCATATAGTCCATCACCTCTTGTTGCACAAGCTGGCTGCACATACCAGTTTCTGTCTCTTATTTTTGTTAAGCCAAGTCTTTCTTGGACTTCATGTGGTTTCATAGCTGTGGATTTAAAGAAATTTGAAACTTACTGTGGTCTCGATATTCCACAAACTTGGTATTTGAAACTTCATGCTGTTTTTGATATTCTGTGATCTTGGTAGTTGTTTTTTCCCTGAGTTTTGAATTTGCTTTAAAACGTAACGTTAATTTCCCACTTTCTRATGATTTGAATGTCATGTGACTATTTGCAGCTTTTCAAATGGCTGCATAAGTTAACCGAAATTCAAAATGCAATTAAATGTCACAGTTGAGTGATTTCTATAGTATTAAAAATAAAATGAGAATCCAGCTAAACTCACCATCTGGTAAATCTTGCTTGTTAGCAAAGACAAGAATGATTGCATCCTTCATTTCCTTATCACTGATAATTCTATTAAGTTCATTTTTAGCTTCATCAATTCTATCCCTGTCCGCACAATCAACAACAAAGATAAGTCCTTGAGTGCCTGCAAAGTAATGCCGCCATAACGGTCTGATCTTGTCCTGCCCTCCAACATCCTAAAAAATGTTGTTCAAAAATAGTTAGAAAAATGAAATACAGTGGWACCTCTATTTAGCAACTACGTACCCCCAAGTGAATTTTAAATGGTCATTCAACAGAGGTTGACCACTAATTAGTATAGTTTATGAAGGTTTCCATGATTGTAATAGATGTATTAAGCTGTCCAGCCATTTGCTTGAGTATTATATCTTTGTTTATTGGCATGACACAGGAGTAAAAAAAGAAAAAAAAAAAAAAATGTACAATAGATAGATGTTACTAAAACACAGAATCAGCAATTTAGTTCATTCAGCTGTCAATTATTGGATCATTGGCTGACCAAGTGCTATACCCACGTACTCAGGGACTTCGAAGCAGCCTAAAACATGGAGGGGCTTAGATTCAAAATGTCATAGAAAACTAGTAAATGACTTGTATGAGGCGACTAACAGTGGRGGTTGAGACTTGAATATTCTGTGGATATTAACAAAAAGTAGATAAACAGTACCCCCTCCCTCCTTCACAGTCTCAGATAATGTCTAAGAAACAATATTTAATCAGATAAATTATGGTATTCATAATTTTTTTCTTCATACTTACCCAGACATTAAATTTGACTTTTTGAAAAGTTACTGTTTCTACATTAAATCCTACTGTTGGTATAGTGGTGACAGACTGCCCTAATTTCATCTTGTAAAGTATAGCTGATAACAAGTCAAGGATTCTTAACGTGACAGCAACAGTCCTGGATAAGGAAACATTTAAGACATTACCGGGACTGACACTACTGCATACAGAAGGGATCCTTAAAGTGCTAGTCTTACAAAAATGACACCAAATTTGCATCCTTACTAGACGTCAGTTGGGGCTTTCGTATCCAGTCTAGACCAGAATGCACCAGAATTCACCATGTCTAACTTGCATTTTGGGTTGTACAAACATATTTTGATCATCGTGTCTTAATGGTGCTATTTTTACCCAATCTAGACCAGAATCGAAGGCATCTTATTTGTCAAATATTAAGAAAATGCCTATTGATATAAGATTGAAAGCTGCCTGTTAGTCAATAAAGACCTGGCAATCAAAAGTCATATTATATGTCAAGGATACTGGTTTTTCCTGCAGCATCTAAACCAAGCATAAGTATTCTCATTTCTTTGTTTCCGAATATCTTTGATAACAGCTTCCCCATGGTGGAGCTTTATTTCAGATACCTAAAAAAATGACAATTTTTTTTAGTCAAGAAATGGTTCATTCTAAACACTGATTGAAAATATCAGAAGTGTTAATTGTATTACTTTTGTGTAAGAAGCAGACAGCCATGTATGTATAGTTTCAGAGATAGATAGATAGATTTTTATTTCTCTCATGTAGTTGAAAGTTTACAACTTTTGCTAGTAGTACAGTAAATGAGGGTTTTTAGTATTTGTATACACCTACTTGCAAGAACGTTGTCATTCGAAAAATAGAACATTAGTGATTTAGTGGGATAGGAATTATATATTAAAAAACAAAAGAAGATCACTGAAGCTGAACTTTTTCTTTTGTCTTTTAATGTATTCCTTTCTCACTAAATTCCTAGTGTTCTAATATCGTATGACAACGTTCTTGCAAGTAGGAGTATATCAGGCTCATTGCTTTTAATTTAAAAGCATTGAGCCTGAGGGCTAAGTTAACTGGGATGKTCTCTAGTTAGCCCCCAGAAAAGTTTTTTTAACAACAAGACACTTTGTTTTGATAAAGCCTCAATGCAACTTGGAATACAATCTAATGTGAATCTATTTTGAGTACACATGAACTTCTAGATGAATCTATTAGCCTGMAGGCTATCTCTACTTGCTATTGGACTTACATCCAATCAGTAATTTTTGTGGTACATTTGTACACCACAAGATCTTTAATAATATACTAATAATTAACAGGTGTTATTAATCCCTCGAATGAATTAAGATTAAACCAAGTGCAAGATTATGTTTCGAATTTGCCAACCATGACATGCCATATCTTAAAAGGATAATTTATATATTTACACAAGTTAATTAAATCATTTTATTTTATCAACAGACAATTAAATTGAACAAAAACACTATTAAGTAATGTTTTAATTCGATGTTCTATAAGCTAACAAGCAAATAAATCGAATACTTCTCACTTAAGRCCTGACATGAGATACAGGAGTTTCAATGTTCAGTTGATCGATACTCAGTAATTATTTGCCAATTAATTTACAATGTTGAGAATAATGAGACTTTTCATTCAATCTATTACCCCATTCACACCAAGGGTTAAACATGTTTTAAAGTGGTTTAACTAAACAGGTTTGGAAAACTATCTATGAACACTGCACACTCTTTGGTGAAATAATGCATGTAAACTATCCTTTGTCTTGCTCTGACAATATTTTAGAAAGTTTCATTACATATTTGTAGGTTTCTAGTTTCTCAATATTTTTCCTAATGATAACATAGTTTAACTAAACACGTTTAGGTGTGAATAGGGTATATAAGTTAGCCATAATGTGAATTAAATCAGCCCAAAGTTTGTTCCAGGGTTCAGTCTGTGAGTATAAGCCATGCTCCAACTTGTAGATCTGTCCCATGAGGTTATTTCATTGTATATCGATCTCGGAATTAGCTATTCCCTGAATTAGATCAGCCCAAAGGTTGTTTSAGGGTACAATATATAGTTTAGATATGCCCTGACTTAGATAAGCCAGGAAAAGGTTGTTTCAGGACTCAGTAAAGTCATAGGGTATAGGAATATATGACAGACTCAGGTATAGGTTAAGGTATGCTGAAAAATCATTTATGACAGCAACACATTTAAGGACTTCAGACATTTAAAAAATCATTTGAGCAAGGTCAATAATTATAAAGAAATCCTAGGATAAAGCAATCATATATCGATAGAATTGGATATGTATGGAGAGAAATATATATAGATTTAATTAAGAGTGAAGATTAACACATGAAATTGGATTCAYGAGATAAATATTAATGCTGTGGTTGCAGTTTAAACTTCRCATGTTCCARAACTACAGGTATTTGCATTTAGTAGAGCTCTGAGATGAAAATAAATGAATAAATGGATGAGATTYGAATGAACAAATCAATGACATCATRCTGGCAGAATGTATGGTATTTCCTTTGGACTCTCTTAATTCTGAATCATCTTTTTTTAAATTCTATTAGAAAATCATGATCTATTTTTGGGCATTATTCTAGCATTAAGGATTCCTATTTCAAACAGTCTCAACATTAATTGACAGTAACTTTATAATATAATCCTTTAATCTACCTATGATCTTTCAAAATAWATACTACTAAAGTTATAAATTACCAGCAAAAGGAGTACAGAATAAATTTATTAACATTTACATYAAAAAGTTCACAAACATAATTACTTTAGAACATTAAACTAGGATTGAAAATAAAAGGAAAGAAAATCATATATGATTTACTGAGGAATTTACTTATTTTAGCGTTTGAATTCAAGTAACTACAGACAATGGAAATCAGACAAGCATTGCAAGGATATTTTTTCGATYGCAAATATGATATTTTCAAGTTGAACATTGTACTTCCGGAAACATCTGATTGTGTCAACACCTAAATTGCAACGCGTTATATATCATTTTGTACTTTTAAATTGCAAAATAAAAATCTCGACAAAAAGCTTCATTTCTTCCTGAGTTAAAAATTYAATGTTCGAGCGAAATCGGTGGTCGATGTTTAGTCAAGCAAACAACTATAAGTAAATAAAATAAAATACTTACTATTTGTAAACAAAAAAGACATAATATAAAAGCTTGRAAGAGAACGATTATTTCTGATTTGCAGCTACATTAAATTCTGTACAAAGAAATTTATTTTATTAAAAGTTTTGGAGGGATTTGATTAGTAAACAAGTAAAAGGAAACAGCTGAATTGAATCCAAAGGAACCTGGAAATAGTGTAGAAAAGTGGACTTCRCGAAATATAAAAATTAAATGTCTTTAAATCCCAATAAACTTCACGATAGGAAGAATCAGACTTTGAAGTTACTTGACAATTATCCACAAAACGATCGGGATACTATGAGGAGAAATATCTTGAAAATTTCAGTCATATTTGAGTCAATTTTACGATTATGAAATATGTACAATGTAGTGCCTCTCATRCCGATCTGGTAAAGAAATATCGAAATTCAGATCCAAGATCAAAACAATAAGGTCTCATACCTCAAGTACAAATGCCCCTTCCGGTTTGAAAGATTTTAAGGGCACCTAAGAAGATCCCATTACACTGCCAAATGCAGGTAAAATTTAATTCAGATTTCAGTATTTCTGACACAARCCTTACCTTCTGTTCTGGCTCCAAGCTTTTCTTCCTTCGCCGGCCAAACGCCGGGATTTTCTGGAAAGCTCAAGACCAATAGCTGGTTGTTCAATTTGGAGTGTAATTGTAAGGTTTTAGTTTCGTTTTGACGGGGAAAATTAGGGAAGAATAATGGTAGTAAGAATCTTCATGGGCGTGCCAGTCAGTCCATGATGGTGGCCGTTGAAAATAAGCCGCTTCAGTACCAGGACCTCACGGAACAACGTTACTACGTCAGCCGTGTACCCTTCCCCTCTATTTTTCTTGAACTTTCGCTGAAAAAGGGAAGCCCGCTCGCTAGTGAGATATAGTATGTGAGAGTTTATAGAGTTGCCTGCGGAGGAGGCTAGGGACTGTTCATTTTTTATCAGGGAAAGGGGGGGG